AAAAATCAAAACTCTTTTTTTCATCGATACAAAAAATAAATACATCCAACTTTAAATTATGATTTTGCTTATTATAGGAAAATTAAAACATTTTTATTGAAATGGTCCTTTGTGTCATTAAACACACATTTTTCAAATTTATGAACATATTGCTTTTTTGACAAAAAAATAATAATACAAGATCATTCTATGCTATACCAAGCCATCACATTTTCTTTGTATTTAATTATTTTAACCAAGAACATACCAAAGGTGAGCATTATTTAAAATAATACTACACCAAGAGTAAGCTTTGTGTCATGATTATAAAAATACTCTATTATGAGTTATCATCGCTTTTTATACATCGTACTATAATAATGCTCTATTCAACATTAAATCGTTTTGTATTTTTATTGATATTATATGTTTATATACGTTTTATTATCAGTACCATTACAAAAATGGTAGAACCGTAACATCAAAAAGGACAATTCAAACTTCATGGTTTCATCACAATTTGTAATCAATTTCATTAGAATGTTTTTATGTATGGATAACCTCATTTTTTTGTCCCTATGTTACTATTAAGAATCGTTTTAATTTTTTTTTAAACACGATGCAATATATCAAATGAAACCCTCTAATGAATTTCTAAAATGTCAATTTTTTAGTAATTGCCTTCACTGTGGTGTACACACCAAGAAATACCAAAATAGCGTCAAGTTTCCATACTCTCAATTTAGAAAATATGGGCAATGATTCAGAAGACAAGAAGTAATTACATGGTATCTTGACTGAGATTTCAAATTGATCCAAATTATAAGAGGAATATTTTGCATTGATTCTTCTAAATGGGATATTATTATTAATTGCAAAAACATTTAGGCAAGGTATTGATACCATATGAACATATGGTTTCCTAATTTGTTATGTTAATTATCAAATTATTACCGAAAATCCTCCTACATTAAACTTGTGTAAATTAGCTAATTTATAATGAAAATCTTTGTCATCAATGCGCTTAGTAGTATATATACCCTACATAAACCACAACTACCTCAATAAAAAAAAAACAGCATCCTAAAATCACATCATTCAAAAAATCGATCTGGTATGTTAAGAGAGTGTTTTCTGTTTCTATATATAAATCGAAATACAGTACAAATGTAATCCAGTGAAAATGTGTTATTAATCTACTAATGTTGAAATGTATTGGTAATTTGGGTAAGATGTCTATGGATCTCTGGTTAGTGTAAGAGATATTGAACTAATTGAAGATGAGTGTTCTGGCAGTATCAATGTTTAAAAGAGCCAGAAAATGCAATTTTCTTTAATAAATATCGAATTTGTTCTTTTATTTTCTTAACTTTCTGACGTTTTGTGAGCATCATATTAATATACTATATACTATATACTAACTTTTTTGCTTGAAAATTTCATAATATATATTTTAAGCCATTTAAAATTTGGCTATTATTTACTCTTATATTTTAATCTAGCTTATTCCCCTTCCAATCGCTTTTGTTTTTGTAGTTTTATGAAAGTACTTGCCAACAATTTCTAAGTTTGAAGATGAACAATAATTGGTCTGTACAGAATAATGGGTTTTAAGTGACTCAACCCAGCCCAAATTAAATATTACAAAACTAAATGGGCCAAAATGTTGCAAAGCCGAAGACGAACCATTATATGAAATCCAACCGCATATGTAGTTCTCCATGTACTAAGCACTTAATTGTTATGTTGCCTTTACAAAGTATACACAATATATAAATTATGAAACTGTATAAATTTAGTTGTAAGAATCCAAGTGAAAGTTTTAAAATTATATATTCTAAATCATGTTCATCGCAAGATGCGGGTCTTAATCTAGTTATATTGTAATATTTAAGGAAAACTAAGAGTAATTTCTTTTTTTTGTACTTCCCCTTTAATAATATAGATGGATTCATCCCATAACACACAAATATTTATGAAAAGTTGAATCATAAATGCTTCCAGTTATCATATGCCAATGGGGAATTTAGTTCACAATCTCAAAAGCATCATCTTGGCATTCTATAACAAATTTATATGTTATACATTGATGATATTTGTTTGCCTAAATCATATTTATAAGAGTAAACTAAATAATTTTAGCGTACATTAGACTTTAATATATATATATATATATATTCTTTATATTTTTAAATACCAGTTTTTTATTTTTTTTATGAAACCACCTAAGTATGAAAAGTTTGCCAAATATAATTCAAACTTTGATGAGTGAAACTTAATTTTTCAATTTTGAAAAAAATACAAAATATGTGGTTTTGGAAAAAGAAAATGATTTTACAATTTGGGAGAGAAAACACAATTTTAGGGTTTTGGCGGAATAACATAATTTCTAGTTTTGGTGAAAAAAGCGATTTTCTGGTTACGACCAAGAAAAATGATTTTTTTGGTTTTTTTATGGGAAAATCTGATTTCTGATATTTTTTATAATATTGTGAATTTTCAGTTTTCACGAGAAACATAATTTTACGGTATTGGTAGAAAAAACGATTTCTGGTTTTTGACCGAAAATTATAATTTTCTGGTTTTGAGGGGAAACATGATTTTACAGTTTTGGTGAGAAAACATAATTTTCTGGTCTTGGTGGGAATTATGATTTTCTGGTCTTTTTTTTATGAAACCACCTAAGTAAAGAAAGTTTGATGGAAAGACTTAATTTTTGTACAGGAAAATGAGATTTTTGGGTTTTGTTGAGAAAAATACTGTGATTTTATGGTTCTGACGGGAAAATGTGGTCTTCGAGTTGGGCGGAAAGATATATTTTAAATTTTTAGTGAGAAAATATGATTTAACATTTTTTATTATAAAACATTATTTTGCGATTTCGGTAAAGAAAACTTTTTTTACGTTTTAGCGAAAATATGTGATTTGTAGCTTTGGCGAGAAACTGTGATTTTACAGTTTTAGTGAAAAACACATTTTTATGATTTTGTCGGAATGATTTTGACAGAAAAACGAGATTTCCGGTTTTGACGAGAAAACAAGACTTCCGATTTTGACAAAAAAACACACTTTTTGGTTAAAATATTATATAATATTGAGTATTTAGGTCTTTTGGATTTGAGATGCAAATGTAGCATCAAAACTCTAATATTTTTGCATCTAGATATTGTAGATTTTGTCGGCCAGTCAAGCACATGCTTGACGCCAAAATCAGATAGAAAATTTTAGGGGCCAATTTTGTTGCATGAGACGTCAACGCTCGGTTTTTAAGTGTCCTCATGTGTGTGTACTCTTAAGTCGTGGGTTCAAATTTCAGGTAAATAATATTAGATTGTGTGATATGGAATATAAAATGAACAAAAATACTTTGGTAAATCGATTAGAAACTTGATAACTAAAATCATACACAAATTATAACTAAGGCCTTGTTCGGTTTAGTTCTTTTTGGTCCATAAACTATTAATTAAAAAAAAAAATTATTTACCTGAAATTTGAACCCACGACTTAAGAGTATGAGTTGGTTACACTATAAGACACTTTTTGTCTTTGTTTTACATAATAAGGCACATTGCACATGTAACACACTTTTTTGTGGGGAAGTAGTAAATTCTAGACAATTTTTTCCCTTAATGAACGCTTTGTGTGGATGGATGATGTATGGAGAAGAGATGCATGGACCGGAGATACATGAATGGGAGATGTGTGGATGAGTAGTATGCGAACATGCGATGTGTGGATGGGTGATGTAAATAAATATATAATAATCATATAAAAATCTACTTTGTTTTTCTTTTAATTTATATTTTACTGCTTAATTATTTTGTTAATCATAATTTACTGGACCTATTTTGTGGATGTGGACAAAGATAATGTGAAAAAAATGTTTTTGGACAAAATAATTATGGATAAGGAAATATGGATATTGTGGACAAATAGTTGTTAATCAAACGTATTGGATCTAATCAACCACACATATTTTGTTCCAATATGTAAGTATGTAAATAAAATTAAATTACTCATCTGAGTATTTTTTAGAAAATGAAAACTATAGATTAATATAATATATATATATATATACATATATAAAGTATATGAATATGTCCATGTCCACACTCGAGTGGTGGTGGCGTCGGCGGTGCTAGTGACAATTGAAGTAACAAGGGAAATATGATTATGTGGGTTTATTTTTCTAGGAGATAACAAAGAATAATTTTTAGAATATCACTTAACTACTTTTGTGTTAAGATGTCTATGTCCACAACTAATCTAATATCCACATTTTGTTGTCCATGTCCACACTTCAATTTGTTTACATATTAATATATTAATATATATATATACATGTATATATATAAAGTATATGAATATGGATCTTAAAAGATAGAGAAATATATATGTAATTTATTATGATAATTATGTTTATTTAATATATTTTAGAACTTAAGATAAATGCAAATGAAAATAGAAGGCGAAATAAGAAGTAGTAAAATGAAATAAAAAGAAAATAAGTAGTAAATGAAATAAAAAGAAAATAATAAAATAGAAGAAGAAGAGGAGGAGAGAGATGCGTGTGAATAAAATGAACTAATAAAGACAATTGAAATAATAAATAAGATCTAAGGTCATAAGAGTCTTTTGGACAATGAAACATGTGTCACAAGCACAAAGTGCCTTATAGTGTAATTGGAATGTGAAAAAGTATCTCTAGATGTAAAAAATTCTTTTGTTATCAATGGAACGAATGAAATGGTTATTTATACTAGAAAACATAACAAAGTCGATATCATTTTTCGTAAATTGACAGCTGAATTATTATTCAAGTTTATAAGTCTGTAGTGGATATCATAATATTCTGATACAAATTATTTCCTAAGAACCCGCAAATATCATTTGATTACCAAAAAAAGAAGAATTTAACACGCAAAACAAAATTATTAATGATAACTTTTTATATTTTCATATCTTTCGTTTCAGTAAAAAATCACTTAACACCCCTTTTACATTATGGCCTATCATCTCCACTAGACATTATAATGCCGTTCCAACATAAACACATAAGGAATGTAGATCATTGTTAAGAGAAGATTATTCTCTTTTTTCACGGGAGATATCTGTTTATTGTCGCCGTTGAATTTCAACTCACAAAATATCGGTGCTTGATCTGCATCATTAATTTCAAGACTAGCCTTGTCGAAATTCCCCTTTTTGAGGTAATTCAAACCTGAGGTTAACATGTGAGCGCTTTTGGAGTAAAGCTTAAGACACTCTTCCAACGAATTCTTACTAAGGCTACTCTTATATTTCCTCTCTTTAATAATCTTCTCCACAATTCTTTTAACAGTCGTTAAGTATGATACGGCGTTATTCATTCCTACCATGATCAAATCATCGATATTTCTTGCTTTCTGGCTCTCCGGATTCTTTTTGAGAGTTGCAATGCAATCATATTCGAAATGTGGAACGGTAAACACTATTATAGAATCTGAGATGTTTTTGCAAGATTTTTGAATCAGTGAATCTGCCACTTTGTTGGCCATGCAACTACTGAAGAGAAGAACAAACACAACAATGGACATCAACATTTTCAGTGTGTATTGTTTTTGAAGAGTGGTATATTGTAACTTGTGATTCCATTTTATAGCAAACAAAAAGTCTGTGTATATGACAGTAACCACATCCTTTTTTAGATGGCTTAAGACTCGCTTTGCCACTCCACTCGTTTCGTTGCCTTTTTCTGGGTCAATTTTAGTTTATCATCCTATTTACTTTTTCATTTTAAAGTATTTTCTATAAACACTATGCTATAAGTTGTGATGATATCTCTTAAAATGATTTCTAAAAACAACTAAAATTTGACCCACGCTTTTCAAATGCATGTTTGTTTTCAAAATTATATATATATATATATATATTAAAATAATTTTATATTAAATAATGTATAGTTTGGACACATTTATCCGGAACTGCGAACTGAATTATAAGAAACTGAAAAAAACTAAACCAAATTTGAACTAAATTTCATAAACAACCAAGCTTATCATATATCTATGGAACTGAAATTTTGAAACTGAATTGAAAACCAAATGGTTATCTGAATATAAAAATACAAATAATTTACCTACAAATAATAATTATATTTAATTATATGTAACTTTTAAATAACCAAATATTTTTAAAATACTATTTATAAACTGAAACACCTGAAAACCAAATTACCTCAATATTTTTTATTTAAAATGTTAAAATTTATCTGAATTATCTGATATTTTTATCCGAAAAACCCAAATTACCCGATATTTAAACTAAAAATGCAAATGATCTGATATTTTTATCTATAAATCCATAGTTACCCTAAATCATAATTGGTCCATAACTGAATTGGACCCAATTTTTTTTTTTTTAAATTATCGATTCCCAAATTTGTAACTATTCCGAATAAAAGCCAAAATAACCCAACTGAAACAAAATTAAACTTTGTGAATACATGAACGGTTCCTAAATTTCTAAAACCAAAACATTAAAACCAAAATACTCAAACCAAAATCTAATGTGGAAGACTAATAGTGCATCTACATTTAAATGGTGCGAAAAGAACATTCTAGTGAAACACTTCTTTAGCTGCTGCAAAGATGATCTGAAACCCAACAGAATTTACAAGGACAACAGATTCACCTTAAGAACTTCCAAATTAGATAGTTTTAGAGTCCCTTTCGAAAAGAAGCCGCGTGGCATCATTACTATTATTATCTTATTAAATTAAATCATAATACTATATTACACATTATTACCATATATACATTAAATCATACAAAACTATAAGTAAGTATACATTTAAATATGTATATGAACTATATATATATAATAATAAGTAAATATACAATTAAAAAAAAAAGAAAAGTTACATTAAATATTAAATACACAATTTAAAAAGGGGGATTTTCCAAATATGACTTAAAACTTGATTTTAAATGCAAAAGTGTACCTCAACTCAAACCGAATGAAAAAGTAGTGAAATTACAAACATCCCCTCATGCCCAAACAAAAAAAATAGGATTGTAGTTTGCCATTATAACGTTGCGAGTGAGAACACTAACTTGAAAGTCTTCTCAGACTGTAGATCTTAAAAATAAATTATAAATTATATAAAAAATATTTTGATTAGTAAAAAATCCTAATCATGTAATTACTCACGTTTATAAATGATGTAAATCTAGATTTAATAAAACTGTATAGTTTTCAAAGTAGATGAGTGAAAGTTAGTTAGTCATGATATTCTTTCGCTTAGGGTTTAGTAACTACGTTGTAGTATTGTATGTGTTTTTAGGGTTAGATTGTGGAATCTTAATATTTTTATTTTTAAAATTAAATTTGACCTATATGTGTTTACTTTTGTATAATTAAACACTTTATCAGTTTATTTTAAGTTTAATAAATGTTTTTTGGAATTTAGTTATATATTTGATTTTGGGGTTTTGGAAGACTTAAATTTTCGAAGATATAATGCACTAGAAGACTTATTGGATGACGTAACAGCATTTTCCCGATTAAAATGTTAAAAGAATTTAGATTTCCCGCCTAAAATTAAGTCTTCCAATAAGTTTTCCATAAGTCTTCCTTAAGTTTTCCAGTGAAAGTCTTCTAGTGTATAGTTCTTCATAAAATTTATAAATTCCATAAAAATATTTTGATATGGAAAAGAATCATAATAATCCAATTATAGAACTTTTTTGTAAGTGATATAAATTTAGATTTAATAAAATTGAATTGTTTTGAACATAGATGAGTGAATGTAAGTTTGTCATGATATTTTTTGGTTTAGGGTTTGGTAACTATGTTATAGTAATGTATGTGTCTTTAAGGTTAGATTGTGGAATCTTTTTTAAAAAACTAAATTTGACCTATATGTGTTTAATTTTGTGTATATTAAACACTTTATAAGTTTATTTTAAATTTAATAAAGTTTTTGTATGTAATTTAGTTCTATATTTGATTTAAGGGTTTTGGAAGGCTTAAATTTCCGAAGACATAATGCACTAGAAGTCTTATTGGATAACTTAACAACAGTTTCCCGCTTAAATTTTAAATGAATTTAAGTTTCCCGCCAAAAGTAAGTCTTATGGACAAATAGTAAGTCTTCTGGGTGAATAGTAAGTCTTCTGGGAGAATAGTAAGTTTTCAAAGTAAGTCTTCTGGGTGAATAGTAAATTTAGGATATAGAAGACTTCTTGGAAGACTTTCATGTAAGTCTTCTAATAGAAGACTTATATGAAAGTCTTATGTATCGAAAATTTATAATCTAATTAGAATTTTTTTTCTTTCTATATATATAAAAATTTACCCATTCTCTTTCTTTCTCTCAAATTGAGGCAACAAAAATATAATATTTCTCATTCTAAAATTCTCAAAACTATTTGAAAATGATAACACTAAACATTATATCAATTTCTCATTTTTATGTTTTTCTCATTATTTTATCTTTTTTTGCAGGTTTTTTGTTGCATATAGTTGTCATCTTTCACTCATTTAAAGATAGACCTATAAGTTTTTTATATGTATTTTTGTGTCTTTTATATAGTAGATTCTAATAAGTTATAGATTTAACATAATTTGATTATTTTAGTTCTTATTTAAGATTTAAAACATTTTTTTTGAAATTTTTTTTTCTCTGTTTTGATGTCATTTAAACGTTTTTGGATATGCAGATTTTTTCAGATCTAAGTCAGATATTGGAAAATTTTCAGAAGACGTCCAGAGGACTTTCCTGGAAGTTCTCTAGCGTAGTCTTAAGTCTTCTGACATAGTTTTAAGTCTTTTGATGTAGTCTTAAATTTTCTGATGTAGTCTTCTTCCATGTCTCTTTTTTCACAACAGATCTGAGCGTTTGGGTGAGTTTTCATGTCTGGTTTTCTTCAGTTTGTAATCTCTTGTTGCTTAAAGCTCTTATCTTTTTCCAAACTAAAATTCTCCAACCCCTCTTTAATATCTTTAACCATGAAAACACCAAACTTTATATCAATTTCTCATTTTTTTCCTTATGTCTTTCTTACTAATTTATCTTGTTTTTGTAGGTTTTTTCAGATCTGAGTCAGACATTAAAAGACTTACAGAAAACGTCCAGAAGACTTTCTTGGAAGTCTTCTGGCGTAGTCTTATGTCTTTTGACGTCTTTTTTCATATCAAGTGGAGTCCAAGCTTGTGTTTGTAAAGAAATGATCTATAATAGTTTTGTTTGTGGTCTGTTTTGTGATTTGTATGTGTACTTTTTAGTTGTGATTTTTTTGTAAAATTGAAGAAATATTAATGAAAGTATGGTAAATATGTTTACTGTTCAAAATTACTTGACATTATTAAAGTAAACAAGAGTATAATAAAAGTATGGTTCTACATTTGTAAAATCAGTAATGATGTTTCTCAAGATGTAATATATGTGCTAACAATTTGTTTTCCACTTTTACAAATCAATGAAATAAAAAAAACTTCAGTGGCCTTCAAATTCAGTACATGATGTTCATTGTGTAATTCTTCTCATCTTTGGATCTCCTTTACTCTATAAAAAAATATAAGTGTGTAACTATAAACAACTTCTTCTCATTAACTTATAATAGTTGTTCATCACTTTTAACTTCTAAGAAGTAAAACTAACAAAGTCTTTTAAAAAGTAAAACCAATAAATTTTGTAATTATAAAAAACTAAGATATAATGAGTAGGTTAATTAGCTCTTCCAACTTCTTTTTCATGTACACATTAAAATCTTCTTGAAATTATTTAAAAAATATAAGTGTGTAACTATAAACAACTTCTTCTCATTAACTTATAATAGTTGTTCATCACTTTTAACTTCTAAGAAGTAAAACTAACAAAGTCTTTTAAAAAGTAAAACCAATAAATTTTGTAATTATAAACAACTAAGATATAATGAGTAGGTTAATTAGCTATTCCAACTTCTTTTTCATGTACACATTACAATCTTCTTGAAATTATTTAACATTTAAAACATTATCTTAAATTATTTAACATTCTTAAAAATTCAAGTTTACAAAAACTAACGGGGAAGACTTTCACAGAAGTCTTCTGCGATAAGACTTTCTAATAAGTCTTTTCAGATTAGCTAGAAACATTAAAAAATATGAATGTTGTTAACCTCATAATTATCACCAATTAAGTTATAAATTTCATCCAGGACCCCAAATATTGTCTAAAACACATGAATTAACAATAAAATCTTAAAAATTCATTTTAAATTTGAAGAGAATGAAAGTTTATGATCTACCATGGTTTTGACCCACTTTTAACCATGGTATATAGATGATTTTGTATTATACATATATATTTTGGAATCTATTAGGTATGTTTTCAGGTTCAGGAGCATTTTGGAGTAAAGTGATGATTTAGGTGTCCTTATGGAGCTTAAAGGAGAGTTTTCCCGAGATGATTATGAAGATCAGACAACAAGGTCGATATCTAGAGATACATATCAATCGATACACATCATGTGTGATCGATCAACGACGCTTCCGTAGAAGATGACGAATCGAGATACTCCATCGATCGATGTACGCCTTGTACCATCGATCGATATTG